TATGGAATATTATGGATGGATAAGTAAATGGAATATTATGTGCATGCTATATATGTATACACATATCATCAAGTATAAATTCATTTATATATAATTTTTATGTCGCGATGAAATTACCGAAATGCTTAAAAATCTAGTTATTTTTAAAAACTGTTTTCTTCCGCAGAATAACGGCAAATTATGAAACATTACGCAACATTGAAAAGCGTGATGAACAAATTTTGCGAAAAGAAATAGCGACTGCTGCACGTATCTCATAGATATCTTTCATTCAACACAAAAGTGGAAAAGTTCTATTTCTGTTTAAAACATACCCTGCAGTCTGAGTCACAGACGGAAGAAATGACAGCAGGTCCTTTTGTTCAACTGAGGGGATGTGTTTAAGTGTTTTATGGCTTACTCACTTTCCCGCCAAACGAGTACAGAGAAAGGGAAGCGTCGTTGCCATAGTAACCGGGCTGTAGGTAGTCTTACAGATTTGAGTCTTTAGCGCTCAACGTTCGTAGCGCCATCTGTTATTAAAAATCGACATGAGAAAGGGGTATTAAACGCTCTTAAGTGCAAAGAACATGATATTTATTAAATAAATGTAACACACAAAACGTTAGGAAAACGCTTCTTTGGACGTAGTTTAAAATCTGAAACCCTTCAGATTTTTTTGTTACAATAGAAGTTTTTTATAATTATTTTTATTGAGTTTAATCAGTTTAAAATTACTACTGTATTTAAATTCACTACCTAACACATTTTAGGCTCTGCTACTATACATGTGTATTTATATTTTTACATTTCAAAACTTTTCTATTGCTGTGTTACATATTTTAAAAACTTACTGTTCTATTTATTACTGACATCAAATTTTCATTTATTTCATTTATTTTGCGTGTGTTGCGTTACTTCTGTTATACGTATTTTTGACTTAGTCTTACTTATTTAAAAATTGTTTTTATTAGTTTTGTTATTTCTAAGTTTGGATTAAAAATTTGCATGTGGTTTTATCTTTGCAAATACTGGACTATTATTTTTGCAAGTTTTGTTTTTGGGTTTGATCTACTCAAAAAAATTGTTTTTTTAAAATTTGTTTATGTTTTTGATGTTATAATTTTGCATTTTTGGCCCTGCTTACTTCAACCTATAGGGGTTGGACTGATAAAAACACTGATTACTTTGATTTTCTAGAATTATTTAAAAATTTTAAACTTTGTGTCTTTGTCTGTTCAAAAACAAGCTGTTTCGTTTATTTACTTCTTTTTTACCAACCCCCTGATGACGAGGCAGAGAAAGATGTACGTTTTATTTTCATTTTGTTTTTACCATATTTTGCCCCCCTTCATTTCTTGCATTTTGCCATTGTGTTTCTGTTTTTTAGGTTTAGTATGTAGTTTATTCTAAATTGAATGTGTAATAAATTTTAAACGTATTTTTTATTTTATTTTATTTTGCATTACATATATATATGCACGTGTGGGTGCATATGTGTGTAGAATATTAAACATGAGCAATAGTTAATTGGCAATAGACCTTTGAATTTCTGATCTAAATATAAGTACAACCCACTTCACATCTTGTGTAACTGTATGCGAGGAATAGCTACTGTCTTACCTGAGTACACGGAACTAAATTCGCGAAGAATATAATAAAATAAAATAATGAATAAATAAATGAAATAAAAATTTCTCCTCTTTAATATCCTGCCAGTTGCGCATTTCTGGATGGGCTCCAGCACCACTTGTTCATTCACTGACTTCATTTGGCCAAACTTTAAAATTTTGCATTTTCTGTTGAAACCTGTATGCATATCAATTTGTGTCCAATTTGCTTTACTTCTTCTTAGTGCATCTTTTTTTCCCTTTATCTTAGCGTTTATTTGCATTTCACAGTATCTTTCTTTTAAATCTAAGTAAGTGTATAGTAGAGAAAATTATTGCAAGATTTTATTGGAAAACTTATTATTTTCAGAAAATTAAGAACGAGGTACTCAGAGGTGCTGTGAAGTAATATTGGTAATTCAATTTCACTAAAATTGCAAATAAAACTTCTATTTTTTTTAGCCTTATATATGATTGCTTTAAATGGATTACAATAAAAACTACAATCTTTCTAAAGTTGTGAGTTAAAACGTTTCACGATTTTTAGGTGTAGTTCTGAATGGGGGAAAAGTGCAAAGATTTTAATTTTCGTATCTAGAATCTTTTTCTAGAAATTCTCTCGGGTTGCGTAATGGGAAACCGCACATTGAGTTCATCAATGTTAACGAATTCCGCTTACTGTGCATGCTCAATGGTGTACCGTTGGCGTCAGAGGAAATACTGGAGACTAAGCGGCATAAGCAACCCTACAACAAGCCTGTTAGTCATGTTGATTTGACTGTTTTACAATTGTTGAAATACTACGGAAATTTGTTTGTGCTTATTGAATGTGCTTCTGTTTCATTTCCTTTTGGTTTATTTTGTTCATAAACATTACATTTAATATCGGTTATTTGGAAATAGGGTCAGTTTGAATGCCTAGCAGGCATCAAACCACATACTTGATCTGTTTTATATGTATAGATTGATTATTCCAATAAAGCCCACTTATTTGACTTTAATTCAGTAATTTAAACTGGATTTATTCTTTAATTTGCTAAAGTAAATACAAATGGTACGCATGGTAAATACTCAATTGCTTTTATTCCTCAGAAGTATAATTAATAAGCATTCAGCTAATATATTTTGTAATGATTTTCTTGCTTTGGAATCCTTCTTAAACCGAAATTTGTTATTTTACAATCGATAGTTACATTTTAAGTAATGAAGCAACATACAACCTGACACGTTTTAAAATCCCGAAATGTTTACGCCCAGATAACACAATATCAACCGTATACCGTATTTATCTTTTTTTAAAATTGAGCCACAGCTGTAATTGCGCCAACTTCTACCCTGGGCATGCGCAGTAAACGAAATTCGTTTAACATTGATCAACTCAATGTGCGGTTTGCCATTACGCTCTCGGATTCGCTGAGGACAAAAGTTTTAGAACAATATTCTTCGGTGTCAGAAAAATTTGCTTCCTGATTTTGGATTCTAATTTATTAAAAACCTTCTTGATTACAGAGGCTATTCGAACATTTTTTAGACGACTTTGCTTTGCTATAAAAAAATCGCCTGCTTGGAAAATTCGTTTTTAACTGAAACTATATTTTCTAAAGTGTAAATTATTATCCGCTGTTTCACAATTTTGTTTTCATGCAAAACGGCACTTTTAAAGAAGCAATGGATGGAAGGCTATGTTTGTGCTCTTTCCGAAGAAACATATTCGTATTTAGTTATTAAAAATGTTATGAAAGCCATGGTTTTTCGGTATCTAAAACAATGATAGATAATATTATCAATAAAAAAGGAAAAAGAAAACGTCAAAGTTTGGCTTCCAGGAGAAAATTTGTTCAAAATACCTATTTAAAGAAAAAACAGAATGTTTGGAATGTTGCAATGATAAGAACTTTAATGTTAACATAATATCTTGTAAGTCAAAGGACTTAATAATTAAAATGATCAGTGACAACTGTAAACCAGTGACTAATGCTGATTTGAATTTTAGAAAGGCGAAAAAACATAATGTGCATCGCTTTTCTCCAAAACATGTTGCCGAACGCAGAACGCGCTGCAAAATTCTTTATGAGAAACAATTATTCGGACCGAAATGTAGAAAAGTTATCACAATAGATGAATCGTGGGTATATTTAAGTGATTGAAGTAGATCCATTTATTATCACCAATCAGAAATATTTAAATATTAGAACCTGGTTTAAAGAATCTAAAGAAAGTTTTTCAAAGGGCTTTATGATTGTTGCTGGTTTTTTATACAATGGCAAATTAAAAATAGTGGAGAAAACTGCAACCCCACGTATTATCAGAAACATATTTTCTACCAAATTTTCGAATATGAAATACTTTCTCGTTACCCACAGTGCCATCAATCAGTAGAACTGCATCAAGACAAAGCAAGCCGCCCCACGTCAAAATCCACTGTTAATTTCCTGGAAAAAATGGAACAAGAAACGTGTATCAAGGCCATATCTTTCACGTGTACCCCTAATTGAATCTCCTGATGTATCATGTACGGAGTTTTGCGCTTTTAAAAAGCAGATTGTCCAGATGTCAACCTACAACCCTCATTGGACTTTGGAAAGCTGTTCAAGAGGAATGGGATAAAATACCTATTTCACTACTAAAAAAAGCTTTATTGTCTTGGAAATAACAGAGTAGAAAGATAGTGACAAATAAATATTTAAAATACAAAAATTTTAGATAAACAGTTTGTGCAAATGCAAAGAAAATCATCTAAAATATGTGCGAACAGCCTTAACAGATGTGAAAAGTCCATAAATATTCTTCGTCTGAAGAGATAGCTCTTTGAAACGGAGATATCAATTACTCAGATACTTACGCTTCCAACCGTATTTTGCTATTCAAAAGGAAAGGAAGGTTTAGTTACATATTCCACAACTAGTATCAAGCCAGTTTGACTAATGTCTCAAAGAAATTTGCATTTTAGGCTGCTATTTTAAAATAGGCACACCAAAGCCTTTCCCCTGTTTGTAATCGTAGCATGTGCCGTCATCACCAAACAGCAATTATTTTCTGCACATCATTTGAGACCTTAGTTCAAGTCAACCTTTATTCGTGCGCTTTTTATACAGCAAAATACCTTAAAAAGAAATGAAGTGTGGAAATAAAACAATAAGAAAATCGATCATCTGTCGTTTGTATGATTACGAGGCAAGCCGGAGAAAAGATAGTAATTCTGAAGTGCCTACTCCAATGTGAGAGAATTTTTTTACTGACTCTGTGATTCAGTTATATTAAGCACTTAAATTCATCTTATATAAGGCTGTGGCTGAGTTATGATTTCCCTGAAAATTTAGAAAGTTATTAGAGTTAAGCCTCGGTGAGTTCTGGTTGAATTTAAATTTTACCCATCCTACTGTGCAGACTGAACAAAATTCCATTACTTACAGTTGCACCTGCATCAAGAAGCATAGACACAATAGGTAGAGCGTTATCCACAGTATTCCGCAAAGCACCCAAAAGAACACCGTTTCCTAGCAAGCAAGTTGTGTTCGGATGATTGTCTCTTGCCATAAGGAGTTCCACTACATCTGGAGTGCACGTACTGCAAGCGAGTCTAAGAGGGTTGTCTCCGGATATGTCGCATAACTTTAGAATGTCGTCCGACGATTTCTCGATTAGCAGTTTTGCTCCTTCTGCAACATAATGCATACAACAGTTTTAAGTATTCAACAAAGTCAAAAGAAAAATAATTAAATAAATATCAAAATAAGGAATAAGTCAGAATCACAAGTGTACCTAGTGTATCTGTTCAGTGGCAGTTCACGTATGTTAAAAATATATATTCAGAATGTATAGCTTAAAATTTCCGCGGAGGAACGCTCTCAGAGACTAACTGAGTGTTATCTGCCCATAGAAAAGTCCCACATAGTAATTTTAAATCAGAAGTTACATCGAAAAATAATCAGTAAAAGCTACTCTGCTAGTTTATTTAAATATTCCAAAAGTCACGCAGAAGGGCACAATTTTATCGCTATGCGAATTTCCGTGATTATTTTCCTCCATTTTAGATAATTTTTATAAAATACTGTAAAAACAGAAATTTTCTGAGAATTTTGCGATTCTCTTATTATATTTTTAATTTTTATGTAAACTGTTAGATTATTTTTTCATTTCAAAAGTTTAATTCTACCTTCTACTAGACTACATATTTTCAGTCAATCTTATTCGAGAACTCGAACTAGAATTTTGGATCTTAAATTATCATCCCAGAATTTCGTTAGATTTTTGGAAGTAATAGTATAAGAAGTTCCAAAGTTAAAAGTACTGGGTCGGTGCGTAAGTGCACACTCCATTGTGAAGCCTTCGTTTTTTGTCATTCAATTGTTTCTGTTCGGCTTAGGGCTTGATTGTTCTGCACAGGAGCTTCAGTGTTGCTAACAGCTTGTTTTGGCTAACCCGTTTGGAGTGCCAAATAGACCAAAGTGAACATTTTTAACATTTCCATCGCCCCTTCTGATAACCGATCTTTCCCTAACAACATTTGTAAAGAACTTATTTTATTCTAACTAATTATTTTAGTTTCAGAAGCTTTCCTTTCCCTTCTGATTTCAGTTTCCTGCAGAAAATAAATTTAAAATCTAAGTGAGTTCGGAATCAGTATTTAAGCACAGTTTTAAGCAGAGTTCGAGGAGGAAAGTTAGTTGAGTTTATGTCGCGTGCTTGAAGTAGTAGCTTTGTATGTGAATAGCTGGTGTTTAGCCACTCTCTATAGATTATATTGATATTCTAGGTTCGGCTTTCCTGTGTGCAGCCGATTTAGCGGTTTAGATAAAGAAAGAGCCATTCGTGTAGATAATCTTTACTTTTATTGTCGCTTCTACATTTTATTTTCTGATCAATTTACTCAGCCACAAGCGGTGGTAGATCGTGAGCACCGAGTGAATGCGTTTATGTTTAGTTCAAACAAAAAGGTTATTTATACCTTCTTTTGCAGTCATCTGTTCTTCCAAGACCTAGCGAGAATTCGCTATTTAGTCTTTTCAGTAGGGTCTACAGTGTATGAACATACAAGAAGAATCTACACATTCAAGGGCTAGTTTCATGGCAAAACTTCTCTTAGCAACTGGCTAACAGATTTCTTCAATTCGAAACTACAGCAGTTCTACAGAAGAGGCATTGAACTCCTACTTAAACGCTGGCAAGGATGATTGACAAAGATGGTGATTACATCACTGACAGAGTGAGTGAGTGATTGCTGATTTATGATGTAACGTATTACTGTCTTGTTATTGTGGACTGCATTGTTTTATAATATGACTATGGTAAAAACGGTAACTCAGTGGAAAACGGTACAAACTTATACACTGACCCAACAGCTCTCAGTTGCCTCTCAAATGCGACGAACCGATGCCAGGATAAATCTTTTTTCTAAATTTAAACATATGCTACTTTATGGAAAAGAAATCTGTATAAATGAAAATATACAATATTATATTGTCATGCACGGGTAGCATGTTCCACGACTTAACATAGATAATAATGAACACTAGGTAAATAGCATATTCGTATAAATACATAAGAAGGTTTAATTTAATTGATAAATTTGCAAAATCAATTATTATTTTTAGAGCTTGAAAGAGGAAAATTGTCAATGCCGTCGTCGGGATTTCAACTCAGGACCTTCCGATTAATCAAGTGCTTACAATCACAGCACTAAGGCATTAATTGAGGAATATGAAAGTTTCTTATAAATTATGCAAAATAAGACATGAGGAATGTTAACTAAACTAATAATAAAATATGCTGCATAATACAGTGCATTGTATACTGCATCATTAACAAATCAATGGGAAACTTATTGATCATTAAAGAGCATTAAGAAGAAAACTCTAATAACCGCAATATGCTACAGTATTAATTTTGAAGTCAAACAACAAAAATCAGCGTTATATTTTCAAATTTTCACAGGACTAGTTTCGATAGTTTTACCGAACCATCATCCTCAGCTTCAAAAGCGCAAATGAAAAAATGTTTTTTTGAATTTGAAAATATAAGGCTTATTTTTTTTGTTTGACTTCTAAATTAATATTTGTTAGGCGTGTATCTTAATTATGCTACGGTATGTTACGCGTAGCCGAACCTCCGCTGTTGACAATGAACCATTGCTTCGTCACAGAAACTTGTATAGGAGCATAATTGTTGAATTTTTTGTCAATCTGATATAAGAACCAAATAGTTATAATGTAGTAAACACGAATTGACGTCCGGTCAACGATTTTCTTTAACCAGCTGCACATTCACGTATGCATAACTTTGCTTTTTCTGATCAAATTTAAATTCTGTTCCACTAATGTGACCCAAGCTAATGACTGTTATGACTATGTCAGTTCTGATAGCTATACCACCATCTAAAAGCATCATTAGAGTATACTGTCACTCTTACTAAAAATTAAGTATTTTGCGATTTTAACTTTATCTGCAACACATGAGTAAGAAATAAAGTGCTCCTTCATTTCTTAGTCATCCTTAAAAACTGTATGTTAAGCACAATATAAAATGCTGTTTTGAGGGTAATAGAAAGAGGACAGGGTTCAGACGATGGCATATGTATCCCTAATATCATTGCGATAGATCTTAAAAGACGCTATCTTCATTCATATCAGTTAAGGAAGGTAATGCTGCGCATGCCTGAATGTGCAATTAAATCAGCGAAACGGTGGACTGGATGTCAGTTCATGTTTATTCCATTGTGATTAGCCGGCCGTTGTGCCATTCTGATATATCGAATTGTTCGAACATTTAAATAGAAGTTTACTGATTTCCGTTGCGTAGCAAAGGCTGGTTACTTAAGTTTGTTTTATGTTAAATGTACCAGTAAAGCCTGTAGGGTTTTATGTTAATTAACCATTTATCTTAATACTGTTACAAATTTTGTATATATATATGTAAATACTTTTAGTGAAATTGTATGTGAAACTGTAGTATCTTTTGTATGCACTTTGCATTGCGTTGCGTTTAACGTTTTTGGGATTTTGAAGTGCTAGCTACTGATCTACTGATTGTGCTCTGTCATAAAGAGAAGAGCTGTACGCGTATATTTGTGGAAAATTTCAAAACTGTAAAGTATTTCGCTATTGAAAGCAAATTTTATCAAGCTTTCATGAGTTCTGGGTGCATTTAATCCATTACGAGCTCGTACGCACGCAACAATATCTTGCCTTTCCTTTCCATTTCTACTTAGATCGTCTCCAACCGAGACGCAAATTAGTTAATGCAAAATAAAATAAAATAAAATTAGTTAATGCTTTATTACACTACTGACCAAAATAAAGGGGGAATTGAGATTTTTAACGTCTCGCCAGAGGTTTTTTTTATTTTATCTGAACACATATAGACTCCCCGTGCACCACAAATGTACAACACGGGGTTTACAGAAGTAAGTTAACTAAAACATTAAAAGTTGCATGCATAAATAAAACTAACAAAAGCAGAGAACAGCAGTCTGTACTTTACGAAAACAGATAAGTTCACTGGCTAAGTCACTCCGAACATTTTCCAATCTTTCTCCACACATAATATGGGGCCATCAAATGTAGGGCATGAGAAAATCAAATGTTCCACATCCTGAGGTACTCCTTTTGAACATTCACAAATTCTTTCATCTTAGATTAAAACGAAACAGGTAACTTGCAAATTTACCGTGACCAGATAAAAACTGAGAAACTTTAAAATGAATAAAGAGGAAAGACTCGGAATGCAGTCTGTGATAAATAGAAGGAATGAACTTTTTGATCTCAGCATTACAAGATAAAATATATTCCTCATTCCACTTAAATAAAAGCTTCTTATAATGAAAGGATTTCCAATATCTCTTTGGAATACAAATGTTGACATCAATGGGTAAGTTTAAGGCATCTTTAGCTAAGAAATCAGCTCTTTCATTTCCATAAAAACCGGGATGAGCACGCACATAAGCAAAGCAGATATCGGTTCCTCTATTTCTAAACGAACTGACAGTTAATAAGAGTTTTGATAACTAATTTGTCACAGCTGGTAATATTGTTTGAAAGGTGAAGAGAAGAAAGGGAATAAAAACAAATAAGGTACCTTGGGGATGCTGTCCCATTATCCTTGATCCATACTCTCACTCTTCTCTCAGTTTACTGACTCCTGCTAATAAAACTTTTTTTGTCTTTTTAACTTATTGCTTTGTTCGCACTTACTAACGAATACATGAAAACACTCACCAAAATCCTGATCGACATATGGATGGATGGCTCGCGAAATAAACATTTGTTTGATGCATTGCACAAGCTCTCTCTCTTAGCAAATTAGATATTCGCTGGCTATCTGAGCTGCACCTGATATGCACTCTGTTCAGGACGACAGAAGAACTGGAAATTATGGGAAATAATTAACGTAAAAAAATATTACCTAAAATAAATCTCACAAATTTAACTATTGAAATTGTTTCACTTTTGTCTCGAACGCTCTTTAAATATAAATTTTTAGTATTTTTAGGTCAAAGGATTTCGAAAATATCATTCTTAATTACGGTACAAATACCGGTTTCACTACGAAAATAACCTATAAGTAATGATAATGAGATTCAACAATAACTTCATGTATTCATACTCGTGCAATAAAATATGCAATTTTGTAATGTATATAACGATAAAAAAGTAAATATATTCAATAACCGTTTTAATGTTACCTGAACAACTTTTCGAGCAAGCCTGGTGTAGAGGTGAATTTCCATCTCTAATCGTGACCTTTGCTCCATGGTCTAGCAGCAACTTTATTAACTCAACATCTGGAATTTCGGCAGCTAGGTAAAGTGGACTTTCTCGGTACTGATTTTCGGCATCTACGTCTGCACCTGCACTTAGTAAAACCTTTGCTGAAAACAAAAGAGAACTTCAGAAATTTAGCTTCCGAAATACAAATTTGTATTCAAATATGATTTACCAAAAGAGATCTAAAAGTTTTTTAGAAAATTAAACTTAAAAAAAAAAAAAAAAAAAAAAAATTAAAACTTTTAGATTCTGTTATGCCCAAAGGGGCATTTCCCATTTATTAAATATTATGTTCCTTTATTTATTAAATATCATGTTCTTTGCAGGTAACACTTACATGGACGGTAAGTGTTACCTGCGAAGAACAAGTACGGCAATACTTAAGAGCAGGTAGAAGAGTACACTTAAGAACAGGTAACACTTTTTAACATGAACGAACTTTATTTATTAAATATCCTGCTCTTCACACTTAAAACCATAAAATTGAATTCAACAGCAATATCAGAAAATATTTAAAAGAGCATATCTTTAGAAATTCCGATCCACAGTCCCGCGCGCAGGAAATAAAAATGTTTTTTCAACAGTGTTGCCACTGCTCGCTTTGAAATCGTTTAGTTTCTTAATCAAAAACTCAGAAATGCTTTGCAAAATATGAAATAGATAATAAAACAAGTTCCAAATTTGGGCTTCCAAATGCCCATATTCGTGTGGTGATGTACGTTATTCAGAATTCGATGACTCTAAGTACCGTTGTTTTATCACAAGGCGATAAACATATATACATTTATGCAGATTCTGAATTATTTAACTTCTTTAAATATAACACACGGCTCTAATATTTGGTGTCAATAATTTAAAAAGTAATTCGCTGTTTATAGTGAATCAACGCAAAATAGCCAAAACGAAATGAATAGCCCTTCTGCGCTAACGTCCTCTGGGATTTTATATTACGTTCAAAGCGGCTTTTTTTTAACGTTTTGTGGGTTACCATTATTTATTAAATGTCATGTTCTTCGTAATTAAAATTCAATTCAACAACAATATCATAAAATAATTTTAAAAAGGTATACCTTTAGAATTTCCGATACAGCGTCTCTCCCGCGCTGAAGATATTTTTTCCCCGTACAGTGTTGCCATTGCTCTCTTTGAAATTGAATTTTGAGTTTGTTAAAAAAATTGCTTAAAGTTTTAGATTCCTTATAGCCTGGATGTCGACAAATCACCGATTTTTATTTTCGCACATACACATACCAAAAATCATCCTTTTGCAGACAAGATATTTTTAAATAATAGTGAGAACACAATAATTTCCACGTACACGGGTTTTAAAAGTATCACGTAAGCATTTTGGATAGGATAGTATAAGCGGCGCAGAGTTGTTTGCAGGGTAGAAGCTAGGAACAGGAATGGGGTAGTTTTTTGCAAAGAGTTATTTATGCCTAATAGTCGTAGAAAGTAATCTAAGCTGTGATTGGTTAATTTTAGTTTTAATTACCTTTTTCAAGCAGTGTTATGTAACATGGAAAGATCTCGAATTTGGGAGAACAGATGAATTTAGAGGGAATATATAAAATTTAGAATCGTTAATTTTAAGGTCACCAATTATTTTCTTAAAGCAGCCATCGTATTTTGTTTTATCTTATAAATACATATAATATATTATTCCTATATTTTCCTTTATATCTTATAAATTCATATATACTCATATATATATATTCCTTATAAATACATACACACATATATATATATGTAATATTAAAAGCACAAGGAAAGGAAAAGCCGGAGCAGAGTCGATGCGTGATTAGACCCATATTGAAGAAGATTTTGATTGCGTAGTATGCTAGTAATGCTAACTTGGTAACATCTAAAGAACTTGGCAGTCGAGGCAGTTTTAATTCCATTTTTATTTCCAATTGATATTTGTGGCCACAATCACTTGGCACTCTAGTCGTGCCTTTCCACAGAAGATTTACATTTTTATATATTGTTAAGATAGAAAAGCAAGCCAGCGAAATTACATCTTAGCAGAGTAGAGGGCAAAAGCTGAAGTGCGTAGTTATGCAAGATGGAGGCACGCGAAGAGAAAAGTTTTGGTTTACAAGGACAGTTTCAGTTTCCCAATGATTACGCCATCAGAGCCGCGCCGATCACAGAGTGATCCAGAAATGACGCAATGCAAAGAAGTTATTACGATTTTAGAATAGAGAGGAAGAATTAATGTTTATAGTTTAATCTATAATTTTGATTCATATATTTTTATCTTACATATATATATTTAACGGAAGTCACAGACTACTTTCCCAGACTGGGACAATGGCGCAGCTAACGTACAAATACACGAACGGCAAAAAGACGACCTCCTAGAAACAATTAGTTAGAAAAAAGCCATGGAAGTATACAGACGATTTGAGAATTGAAAATTTTGTTTAGTTTTTGAAAGTATTTGTTGCCTATAAGACCGAAAATGTTCGGAAAAGGAGGAGATAATGATATGTCGAGTGAATTATTTTTGCTATCCAAGCGTCGATATTGCCAAGTATTTAGGTTGTCATATTGGAAAATGCTAATTTATTAGACCAGGCAATGGAACGTGACGATAATAGTTGTGGCATAAGGTGCTTAAAGGAAAGCAGTGACCAAAATGTTTGATCCAAAACGTATTCAGCCAAATATTGTATCTTTTACCTTACTGTGCCAAAAAAACTCATAAAACATAAGAAATTTTTAATAAAATAAACAAGCTTTATATTTTTAATAAATTTAATTGAAATTACAACATTTATTTTTCAACTTTGATACTGTCGGTCCCTCAGACGGAAAATACACTGTCGGGACGTCGTGCGTAATGTATAAATTTACAGGTACATTTACAGGTTTTATAAAAGTAAAAGAATTCGCTGTTGATATTCTATTGATAATCTACAAATTAATCGTGGGATTTTTGATACCCAACAGCGAACTTTCTGATGAAATTTTAAAATTACGGTACATTTAAAGGTTTTACAAAAGTAAAAGAATTCGCTTTTGATATTCTATTGATAATCTACAAATTAATCGTGGGATTTTTGATACCCAACAGCGAACTTTCTGATGAAATTTTAAAATTACGGTACATTTAAAGGTTTTACAAAAGTAAAAGAATTCGCTGTTGATATTCTATTGATAATCTACAAGTTAATCGTGGGATTTTTGATAGCCAACAGCGAACTTTCTGATGAAATTTAAAATTTCGTAAGATATCTAAAACAGGACTGCATTGCCAAACATAGGTAGATATGAATAATTTTAGTTTCATATTCCCACTTATTTAGCAGTTCATCCTTTTTAAGATTTTATATTTCTAAATGAAACAAGTACTCGTAGTCCATATTGTTTTGTTTCGAATAATATCAATGTTTTATCAAAAACACGTCTTCAGTTTTTCAGTAAAATTGCAATCTTCACTTATGCAAATTTTAAACGAATTTTGTCGAAAAAATATAATGAATTATACACTTTTAAGGAGAAAGTTTCTGAGTTAAAATCAACAACTTTTCCTGCAGACGAAACAAAACCCACGCTTTAAGAATTCTTGCTAGGATTGCCTTAGGCTAACAAAATATTTGCACGACGTTTGGCCTTCCAAAACATTACAGTATGTCTTTCGAAGTTGACTATAATCAAATTCTCAATGCTTTATTTAGTTTCCACTATAAATTTATTTTTCTTTAAACACAAACTGAGATTATTTGAAGTATATATATATATAAACTCAAATACTCACTCTAAATCATTTAACTGATAGGGATATGATAATTTGTTCCTAAACCTGAGAAGGTGGTATAAGTTGGATGACTATCAGTTGAAGGATTTTTACATAGTGTAATTACTAAGCTGTATATAATGTAAAAAGCTAATTGTCTTCAGACTTATGCTGTTACTATGCTCTTACTAAAAAAATGGGCCTATTTCATAATCTTTAGTCTGTCAAATAGCTCTTTGACAGTGTAAATTCCTTTTTTCTTAAATTCTTCATCGTTACAACACGACAATTAGCCAGAAATTAATTAATTGCCATTCACTAGTATTTTCAAAAATTTTAAAAGACGGTTTCACTCAAATAAGAGCTCCACAGCATACGGCCCTCAAGAATTCCTAGTCTCTCCCACACCATAAATTACTTCATACAAGTCTTCCCGACTGATATAATTCAAAGCCCCCGCTGCCGCTAAAGAATTTTTCTGAACACAACCCTTCTGAGTCAGACTCGAAGAAAACACTTTGCCCACTCCCAACTAGAAGGAACGTAAGTTAATTAATGCTTTTTCTGGCCTTTATATCTTCATGTACATTCACTTTTCTTATTCTACATATTTTTTATTTTTTGATTTGTTTTTACAAAGATTGCATTATTTTCTTATATTTTGTAATTTTCAAATGTTTATTTCAACTACTTTGAATTATGTTTCATAATGACAATTTCCAATGCTTAATTTTTACAAATAATATTGAACTCAAATGCATAAACACGAGGGTGTCGGGGAATGCTTACTCAAGTAATATCACATTTACTGCAGAAATTGCTTTTCAGTCAAAATTGAATTAGCTAAAATACTTAATCGGAATGAGTTCTTTGAATCTCTGCATTGGTTCTTAATCCCTTCTATTCATGAAAATGTTTAGCCTGACTTGAATTGCCGGTTTGGGATCGCCTTATTGCTCGAGTAAAGGACGAAACACCTTCGTATTTATTTCTTAATTATTGTTCATTGAACGGGAGTTGGTTTGTTCCCCTTGAAAATTCAACTAATTTCCAATCAATGGCAATGATTACTTAGTGTCCACAATAATGTCCATCGAAAGAGAGCCCAAGGAAATTGCATCCAAGCAGCAGACAGAGAGAAGCTTCACTGTGCCGTTATCCAATATGGAAGCTCACGAAGAGAAAGGTTTTGGTTTAGGTTAGAAAAGTTTCAGTTCTCAGAGTTTAGGTTCCCAATTGACTACGTCATCAGCGTTACGCAAGGCCTTGTGGCATCGATTAATCTAGAAATGGCGAAGTCCACAAATGTTATTTATAGAATAGAGAAACTAAATACCCGAATTAAAAAGCGATTAATAAATT